AATAATATGTAAATCGCCATTTATTTATTACAGATGATAGCAGTCTGTCTAATTTGGTTCTTAATTAAATCTATAAAATTCTTGATTGAGAATTTGGATTGACTTTATACTCACAATGTATTGTGCGTACTTAAATCCTTGACCATTTATATTATTTATAAGAATAAACTTGACTTATGACCATTCTGAAATACATGTATAAATCACAAGAAGGACTGCATCTATTCAAATGTACTTGCTAGCTATAGTACTTGCAAGAATAGATTCTTTTTTAACAAACAGTATTTTTTAGTACGACAACTTACATTTTGAAGCAAAAAAGTATGATCCGTAGGTTCTTTTTTTTTTTTAAAAATTACATCATTACGCAGTGAAACTTTTATTTACGATACAATTAGAAATTAATCAGTTTCTCATTACTCAATGAGTGACGCGAGATTGATTTGGGTTTTCAATGTAACGATGATTATTTGTCAAGTGGTGCTATATTCGTTGTTTATTATTTATCTAAAAAAAAAAAAAGAAGACTCTCCGAGACATTTTGTCACAGGGGATCGTAGAAAAATGCGATGTGTTAGTTTGCCGCTTCCCTATACATGCCCTTAGTTCAAATTTCAGCCGGTTTTTCTTCCTTCTGGGGGGATATGAGCTGAAATTCACCGACAATTAAACAGTTCCTCGAGAAATTTCCTTGATAAATTAAATCCTGTAAAACTAAGCATGCGTATGTTACCTGCTCCTGGATATGTTTGCTGTTTTTCCACAATTATGGTATACTCGCGAAATTTGTAACAGCATGTGAGAAATTTACATGATATAGGCCTACTGAGCATTTTTTTTTTGTGGATCTGCTAGAAAAAAAATTCACTCAGGTTTATTCTAAATTTAAATAGTCCCTATGACTCATATTTTTTTTTTTTTTTGCTATGGAGAATTAAGAATTATACAGATATATCTAACATATATAACAAACAAAGAAAAATGATTTCTTTTAATCAGTCTGGGGAATATAGTCTTGATCCGCCTACCTGCTACATGTAACGTCACAATGGTGGAAGTGACGCCTCGGTGTATGTTTTTGTGTGTTTATGTCGACAGACGAACCAAGACTACAAAGTTTAGATATGTTTTTGTGTTATTCTTCTGTAGGGATTTTTTACGGGGGGGTTCAATGAAAATTGTCGCAAATGTCGAAATGGAATCCTCTTTGTTGAATGACTCGAAACAACAAATAAAAGACGAAGGAAGTGTGGGATGTGTTTTTTTGTGATATTCACTAAAATATTGCATAAATAACTGACTAAAAGGTAAATTCAATCATTGATTCAACAAATTCATGCATTTTCAGAAAAAAAGGTCGTATATAACAACGAGAATAAGTCCAAGATTTTTCTCAAATCTCAGCTTACGTGAGATGATCGAATCTCAGAGATGTTGGTGGCATGATGTTTTAGGAAAATCTCAGCTGAGGCAGAAATCTAAGATTTGAGGTTGAGATTTGAGCTGAGATTTTATATGTTGGTGGCCCCGAAGCCAGATGTTCAAAAATCTTTATGAAAACTTTTACTTGTTTTGCCTCTGATATGCCCAGGTGCAGAGAAGATTTTCAAAGAAATAATGCATTTTTTACTACAGATTCACTATATTATCAATAGAGCCCCCCCCCCCCCCCCCACACACACCTAGAAACACCAGAGCCTCTCACCCTGGGACCAGAAGTTTGCTCATCATACATGTAAGTAATCACTTTGTTTATCTGATTAACACTAAGGAGCAGACAGGATTATTTAACAGAATTAATGCATTTTCACTGTATCATCAAGAGCCCCACCATTACACCAGCACATCTGACCCAGGGGTCATGCAATTCACTACTCTGGAAGAAGCAATCATGCTCATCATAACTATATGCTTAGCTTCTTTGCTTTTTAACCAGAAGCAGAAAAGAGTATTTTCAAAGAAATTTTGCTTTTTCACTATATAATCAATAGAGCCCCTCCCCCTTTTTCACCATAACCCTTGACCCTGGGGCTATGAAATTCACAATTTTGGAAGAGGCAATCTTGAATATCAAAACAATGTACTTAGTTTGTTTAAATAATACCCAGGGGCAGAGAAGAAGATTTTCAAAGAATTAATGCATTTTCACTATATAATCAATATAGCTCCGCCCTAACACCAGAACCCCTGACCCTGGGGCCATGAAATTCACAATTTTGGAAGAGGCCCTCTTCCTCATCATAACTATGTACTTAGTTACTTTATTTAATACCCAGGAGCAGAGAAGAAGATTTTCAAAGAATTAATGCATTTTCACTATATAATCAATAGAGCCCCGCCCTAACACCAGAACCCCTGACCCTGGAGCCATGAAATTCAAAATTTTGGAAGAGGCCCTCTTCCTCATCATAACTATGTACTTAGTTACTTTATTTAATACCCAGGAGCAGAGAAGAAGATTTTCAAAGAATTAATGCATTTTCACTATATAATCAATAGAGCCCCGCCCTAACACCAGAACCCCTGACCCAGGGGCCATGAAATTCACAATTTTGGAAGAGGCAGTCTTGCTTTTCATAACTATGTACTTAGTTACTTTATTTAATACCCAGGAGCAGAGAATAAGATTTTCAAAGAAATAATGCACTTTCACTATATGATCTATATTGCCCCATCCTAGCACCAGAACCCCTGATCCTGGGGCCATGAATTTCAAAATTTTGGTAGAGGGCTCAATGCTTATTACAATGATGCGAACAGTTTGACTGCTTGATGTCCAGGAGTAAAGAAGAAGATTTTTAAAGATTGCATTATTTTTGGTGGTTTTAGCCCCGCCCCTCAGGCCCCAGGGGGACAGGGACCATGAAATTCACATGCAAGTCTAAACTCGACGTAATGAAGATTTAGATTTGCAAACAAGGTCATTACACTGACAATAAATTTCTCGACATGTAAAATTCTAAACAAGGCAGTAGAAAGCTCTGTATCATGGACTTAGTTGTCAGTAGGATGTCTTGGTTCAAAACAGTTACTACATAGAAGATACTCTTGCCGTTGCAAAATTAGTTGAAAGACGTAGACACCATCTGCAATTGATAATATAATGTGATTTTGTTTTCTTGCAGGACACGGCAATACTTTTATTCTTCTCATGTAGAAGTTTGCACATGAATTCTCCTTCATTAGAACATACAATAATAGGTCGGCAAATTAATGATCACAGTTTTTGGAAATGCGAATTATGTAAAACACATTGTTTGAAGGCTTTCATACGATCTGATGGTTTTGGGGTAAGAATCGTGATTTCTAATTTTCTTTAAATTTTCTACAGGTTTTTTAGAAACAAGATTTCATTAAAATCACTTCTTTAATATGGTAATTGTAGCACAGCGCTTCTTCACAGCATTTAGATATTTATCTCATGCACATTTAGAGCAATTTTTGAAATTTAAATATGGCATTCTTAAACATTTGTTACACCATTATACAATTACACAGGTATTTATATTTACTTCGAATTTTAAGATGAAATTTGATTTGAGTAACATTTTTGTGGACATCCATGGGTTTTAACAGGTCTGGACGATTTTAATATTAATTGCCATAAATGCACAGAATAAACGACATGCTAAGGCAATCTTTAAAATAATGTTTGTTTGCCCTCTCCCTTCACCCAAAGATGCTATATACCAAATTTGGTTGAAATTGGTTGAGCGGTTTCAGAGAAGAAGCTAAAAATGTTCAAATGTTAATGTACGTCGCACGACGACGGACGAAAACGGATAGCAATAGGTCACCTGAGTTACTCAGGTGACCTAAAAATATGAAGAAATTCCTTGAACTTTTGGATCAACCCTCGTACATGTCAGTCATTAAATTTATATAATATACAGTATGCATAAGGAAGACCAAATGTATTATTACTGCATTAAGGAGACCAACTACTATCCACATCTAAATCAGTATTCAACCTCTTTCACTAATAAATAAATAAAATATGAAGAAATTCAACAAACTTTTGGATCAACCCTCATACATGTCAGCCATTAAATTTATATAAAAATAAATATGCAGTATGCATAAGGAAGATCAAATGTATTATTACTGCATTAAGGAGACCAACTACTCTCCACATGTAAATCAGTATTCAAAACGAGAGATTTTAATACCCTAGTAATTTACATGTTTAGTTACATGAACTAAATCTATTTACCTTTGTCATCACGCAAGAACTGTTTTACATTCATCCAACTTTAGCAACATTATACATGCATACAGTGTATGCCATACATTAGGAAGACCAGATGCATTATTACAACATTAAAGAGACCAACTACAATGGAACAATGAGACAGTATTCCAAAATGTTCATCCCAATACCATAGTAATTTCCCTTAATTTGTTTGTATTTAGATGACCTAAATCAATTTATCTCAGCCAGAATTGGAACAAAAAAGCTAGTCACACAAGTGGCCAAACACATGAACAGACAGATGGACATGATGATTCCTATGCTTATATACAACCATGCTTATATACACCCAAAGTTGCCAAAGTAGAGCAGATGCAGTGGTTAGAGCGTCTACTCTAGAGTCGCGGAGAAAGAAGCTGATCCTTACATAGCGAGTTTGAATCCCACTGTGGAATGTGGAGACCCGTTCTTCAGATGAGACAGACGTATTAACTGAGGTCCCGTGTCACAGTAGGTGCTGGCTCGATAAAGATCCCTCAATGCTCAATGGCCGTAAGTGCTGAGTATAGGACAAAAATTTGCAGCTCTCCACCAGCAAGTGGTGGCGTCTCCATATGAGTGAAAAATTCTCAAGAGGGACGTTAAGCAACAAGCAATATACACCCAAAACTTTGTTTGCAGAAGATTTTGTGATACATGCTTTACAAGTATACATATTGTTCATAAGGGAATAAAAATGCTATAATATATCATTAAGGAAAGCAACTGAAATTAAATGTGCACTTCTAATTGAACTAAACAAAATTACCCTTTGTCAGAATGTAGATTTATAAACAGGAAGGCTGTTTTTCTTCATTTTTTCCATGTCAGATTCAGACTGTTCTTCAAAAAATTCTGGCATACACCCTGTAAAAGTGAACAGTGCAGATAATAAAGAGCTTCTAAATAAACTGCATAATATTTAAAAGATCCACTTAAAAGGGATAACAAATGCATATAACTGCATCAAGGAGACCAACTGATATCCATATATATATAAATCAGTACATGTATTTTAATTGTGATATTTTAATATCCTAGTAATTTACATGTTTAGTTTCATGAAATAAATCTATTTACCTTTGTCCAATGACCAATGAGCACAAGCACTGATTTTTCCTCTTTTTTCTTAACGGAATCACCAGGGCCAGTCTGCGGTCCATATGATTCTGGCATATGTACACTCTGTAAAATGCATATTTGTACCATGTACAGGCATGTGAACAATATTTCTATACTACATACATGCATCATTAAACTTAATAATCTTTTTTTCCAAAATTCATTATTCATAGTGTTTTGCTGTTAGCAAAATTCAACAAAAACTATACTGTATATACTCGCCTATAAGGTGGTCTGCCTATAAATCAGTTGTATTTTTTGAGGTTATTTTGGAGGGATTTGCTATTGACCCGCTTATAAATCGGTACAACTTTTTGCCAGAATCAATTGACAATTTCAAATCAATGCTCTGATGTTTTAACCTGGTTTCAAAATACTAATCTTTTTATGACTCACCTATAAGTTGGACATAGAGTATATACAGTACCTGCATCATACATGCATTAGGAAGACCAAATGTATTATTGCAATATTAAAGAGACCATTGCGGCAAATGAAATCAATGTATGAATTGTATTCAAAACTACGGGTGTACTAATTTGTCTGAAGTATATCATGATATAATGTGATACACAAAGACTTTAACAGGATATGTACATATACCCACATTCCTAAATGTAACAACAGTTTAAAAATCAATAATTTTTTTTTTTTTTTTGCAAATTTCACTGTCTAATTTATGAAATATAAAATATTATTTAAAACCATAAAGCATAAAATGGTTGAAAGCTCATTTAATACAATAACTGACATAAATAGGATGTTTAATCTACATTTATTAATATTGTGGGTCATCACCCCATTTTTTGTGAAGGAATCGTGAAAGGCATTGTAATTCCAACTTGCTCACAGAGCAAGTTTTACACAGAGGACCAACTCTTTATTCAAAATTTAGTTTACATACTTAATTTTTTAACAAGTTTAATGGGTTTATAAAACTTTAAACTAAGTCAAAATATTTTGCTTTCTAAATATGGACAAGAAATGTTTTTTGCTTAAAATCACCTTAACTTCAGATAAAAAAAATGCACTGTGCTCATCCTCTTCAAATGCCTTGTTTGTAAATAACTGATAAAGGGTACATCTCACAAATGTTTCATTATTACAAATGTCTTACAGTAAATATAGGCATCACCACAACTTATTTCATTAGTAAGAATAAACCCTTAAGCAATGAATATAAATGCTGAAAAGTGGTGCATTGTTAGGAGTTGATCTTACTACACAAGTTTCGAGATTATCTCCATTGCACTCGGCACACCTCGGCCGATTCGTACCTCATCAAACGTTTGATGAAGGTGACGGAATCAGCCGAGGTTTGCCGAATGATCTCCATTGGTGCACTCTTTTGTTATGGAGGGAAGTTTTGTTTCCACATTAGCAGGCAGGTGGGACAGTTATTTATATATTGCATACATTACGTCATTGATATACTGTGAAACCTGTCTTATCCAACATGTTGAAGGGGAATAAAATCAATGTCAGATTAGACAGTGTGTCGGATTACCCAGTGTTGAATATTTCTGAGCATTATGATAAATGTCAGGTGACTTCATACAGAAAAAAAAAACATTTTTCGTTAGGTTTAGAGTACATGTGTATTTAATTGTCAAAGTGTGTGTGTGTGTGTGTTTCTTTGTTGTATAAAATATACCTTCGGCTGATTAACATTTCTTTGAGACACATCATTTGTTACAGCACTAGTAAACTCTGTAGTAATATACGATAATTTCTTTTAAACGTGCAAAACAGATGGAACTGCCAATCACTTCGAGTTGTTGCAATTTAATTTTTAGCATTTTACTTACTAACAGTAGATATTAAATATTTTGTCTACCTTCTGTAAACAGTGGTTTTATTTTTTTTTCTACACTACATTTCTCTCCGATTTTTTCTGCATTGTTAACTTCTCAAGATAGACTGTGCTATTAATACCCTCTCGTGACTTTTCAAACAAATGGGACGTACCTCTAAAACATTGTTATTGCGATTTAATTTTTATCAAACAACATTAACATTTTAAAATTTAATGGGTCTACTTAAAGTGGAAGTTTTTTGCTTCCTGCAAATCTTTTATGTGCACAGTCTCACTTAATTCAGTGTATATTAACCCGGAAATGAAACATTTTCTATTAGACGAGATGCTGTCTTCAAATTGTGTGTTGTCTACATGTTATACAGTAGTTTGCTGTACTCATTTTTTAGGGAGACATGACTTTAAAGGACTCTGACTGCATGTTTGATTTCAATTTCAACCAAAAAATCTTATTTATTCTGTTAGGTAAAGGCAATCTAAATATCAGGTACTCCTTTTTATTTTCTATCGCGTGGATGCTATTTTGTCAATGCGAGAATAAAATTGATAACAACGAAGAGTACTGATTGCCTAATTTTTAAATTCAAACACAGTTCATTTATTGTTTATATAAACACCATCAAACTAATACATGTAATTAACTACTAAGTAGACCAAGCTTGTGCCCAAATGGAACTAGCGACTAATTATGGTACAAATGTATAATTATGTCAAATTACCCAGGTAAAATCATAAGGTAATTATCTAGTCTTGTCGACAAAAAGCACCAGAATTCGGAATGTACAGTGGTCGGAATATACAGTGTTTTATTCTATATATATTATAAAGAAATTTTTGGGAATAAAATATTTAAGTTTTAATGGTCGGAAAGTCCAGTGTGCTGGATTGCACAGTTGTCGGATTGGACAGTGGACACTGTAACATCATAACTGATTGTCGGGATGCACTCTTCAACTTGAAAATTAAGGAATTAAAGAAAAGGCGTCAATTTTTTTCAATGAACAAAAAATCAGAACAAAAGAAACTAAGAATCAGAACAAAAGAAATATCAGTGGATAAGGCCACAATTAAAAAATTGTTGGTTTGGCATTGCCGATTGAGTCTTTAAACACTTGGGTCAGTAGGTAGGGAAAATATTTTTTTTTTTTTTTTGCTGATACAAAAATTAATGCTATTAAATCAATTGTGTTGTATTATTGCATTTTGTTATACAAATTAACAACTATGTCAAAACAGATATGAAATTTCACACGTCATACAGATTTCTAATACAGTTTCAGGTCTTGAGTGACAATTATGAAGCAAGAACTTCTGCTTTCTGCTTTCTGAGCAGGAAAGGGCATATACAAAACAAATCAAACAACACTAACAAATAAATGCTGAAATGATACATCGTGATATGTAGGTATATTGGGTTTGGATAATACACAGACATTATGATACGATACATCTCTCAAAACAATTTTATGATTCAATACATGAATCTAGACATTATTTAAGTTATAAAATTTTAATAAAATTACTTTCTTATTAATTTTTTTCTAAGGATAAATTAACCATAAATGTACAAACAAACAAACAAAAAAAAAAATCAAAAATCAAATCACTTGAATTGAAATTTACAGCAAGGTATTGCTGTAAAAATTATCATTAATATATTTGTCTAGGGAGGAATTGATGGGAATTGCTTTAATTTGTTTTTAAAAATTTCAAAATGATTTATAAATCATGATTGTCAAATGTCAATAAATAACACAATAAAGTAGATTCATCATTTAGTGTAATGGCTAAGCATTCAGATTTGTTGTGTTTCTCATATATATACTGAAACTTTGAATGACACAGTTTATAAACAAGCTGTCTTCTCTGTAGTAGCGGCACTAGTGAAGAATCCAACATGTTTCAAAACTTGTAAGAATGGCCTGATTTGAATGTGTAAGATACAGTTGCAATGCCAACCATGCCAACATTTGGCATTTGTTTATTTTTTAGTTATTTATGAACCAGCAATAATTAGGGCTGCACCAAATATATTGATACATATCTAGATTAATGAATATATCGTATCCAAAAAATAACTTAATTCCAATACATTTTGGGCAGGCAGTTTTTTTATGTAATTCTGTGAAAAAGTTGGGAATTTCAATCACCAAAGATTATATTTAACTGTTTTGAATTAAAACTGATCAAAAATGATATAATCGTTAAGGAGGTAGCACATCTTAGATGATTATTACAAAATCATAAAAATACATAGACAACTTTACTTAGCATGTTGATTTTACAGTCAAGAAAAGTTTGAATTTGAAGTGTAATTTTTAAAGACAGTGAGACAAAAAATTAAAAATGAGTTGCAAAACAATTATTATTTTTATAAAATTCATGCATAATGATTTATAAGACTTTTTTGACAGAATTGTTAAAGAATCCAATATATTGCATATCGCATTAAAAAATGTCTTCTTCTTTTTTTTTGCTCAATACACAGCCCTAGCAAAAATGATATACAACAAGGACTTTGATTGGATTATTAACATTCATTCAATTGATCATAATTATTAACTGTTATTGCACTTTCATTTTCAAAATGTTGTTAGGTATGTTGTTTGTTCATTCTTTTGCATTGATATTATAATTTATAAAAGAGTATTTTAGCAGAAAAAAATTATCAATTTACCTTTCTTGGAATAAAGACATGTTGACCCTTGAGCTGAGATTTTCTCTCTTTCCATAGATGTGTTACACTGGGGTCCACATGATTCTAGCAGAGACCCTGTAAAAAAGGACTTAATTATGGAAAAGCATGAAGAATATATGCCTATTATACATATCTTAAATTCTAATAAAAACAATGTTTTTAATTAAGATCCATATATTTCTAATGATTGACATAATACAAATTCAAAATAAAATATGCATGTCTATATTATACCTTAAGCAGACCAATTGCATTAATACATCCTTCAGGAGACCAACTTAAATCAATATTTGAGAAATATTTGTGAGAACAATAAATTTGTCTACTTTACAGTACTAAATGTACATGGAATCTATTGGATCATGTTACTTTAATTGACCTGCCTTAGTTCAACACAGTAATCTAACAAAGAAATTGAGCCAAAACAACATTTTAAGACTTTTTGAACAGTGCATGTTCCTATCATTTCAAAACCATTACCAGTAAAAAGCTAATATAGGAAAATGATGACAATTAATTAATATTGTACTTTCAGGTATATTAAATGAATCAATCTGATTCGTCAAGAAACATTTGTTAAAAAGCACTATTACCCACTGAATAATGAAGCCACGCCCTCCAGTGTCGCAACAGTCAACATTGCTTGACGACGGGTGATATTCCAAAAAATAGTGACTGCGCAGATTTATGCGCTCAAGGTTCACTATTATTTGTATTTGTATAAAACATTCAGTATAATATAATAAATGTTCCATGTAGTTGAGTGTAACATTGAAAATTTTCACCCCTTGAAAACCAAATACGTCAAAAAGGGGATAGGTTTCTTTTCCAACTTCTATATAGTTTCGCCCCTGCAAAAACTAGTATAGACCTAGGAAATGTTTAAACGGGCTAAGAGAAATCAAATGCATCGAGAGTACTTTAATTGTTTTTACCCAAGTTACATGCCAAAAAAGATTCAGAAAGACGTCACATAAAGTTAACGTTGATTTGAACTGAAGTTAGGGTGTCAAAAGTCATTCACGTCCAAAAGTGACATTGATCATGTGTGGTAGATAATAAACTCCTACGAGCAAAATATGCTGGCATAATCAAGTGAGGATCTTTCCCTAATCCTATATATAAATCCATTTAGTACAATATTATATGCACTTAAGCAGCTGTTTATGACATTGTAAAATTATATAAACAAGACCAGTTTACATAATTTATAACAAGACCGGTTTATACAATTTATATACCAGGGTAATTAATAATATAATTTATATAATTTTATCAAGATAAGTGTATGGGGTAGAGGGAGCAGACATTGAGAAACAATGTTGTCAGACCTCATGAAACTAAACTAACAGTCTTCCAAATAACCCGGGAGTCCAATGCCAGGGACCAGTTAAATTTGCAGCTGGGCATGTAAAAATTGTCAAATTACATGTCCGAAGAGGGCATATGTGAATCTTCTTTCATTGTACGATCTTTACTTGCCATTTATTCTGTCCTACCCCCATTATTCCCGTAAACGTTGCTATATGTAATGTCTTAGATGGATTGCCTGTCTACATTCTCGATACGACCTGTCAAATGATTGTCAATCTAATCATTGAAGTGTTTAGTTTAACCTATTTGTTTTCTCGAAGTTTCTTGCTAAATTACGAGACGTTCATCGATGCCACATACTGTGGCACTACAGTCATGATCCCATTTCTGAAATTCAGTTCAGCTAAACCTGCCAACAAATGACCAGCATGCAACTCAAAAGTTATTAATGAACAAAAACGCTTTAGAAAATGGCAATCACGGTGAATAAACACACGTGGTACAGTCACGGAGAAATACAATGCTGAAAAAATTAATATAAAACCTTTATACCTAATGTTTTTTTTTTGTAGCACAATACTGGTAAATGTAAGAATTTTGAGTAGGGCATGTACAAATTTGAATGCGCTGGGTAAAAATGATAGGTCTACATGCCCGAAGGGCATGTGCTGAAAAAGAATTGTTGTGAAGACCGAACTAAAGTGACAGCGCCGGGTGATCATATAAAGTCCCTTTTAGTACATAATAATTTGGCAAATTATCAACATATCACGCTAAAATTTCCAACATATCTTAATGGTGAGAATTTTTATTTTTTAAGTTGAAACCCTGTGACCTGTGAAAAAAATGAAATTTGTATCATCTAAAGTCTTAAGATGTATCAAGGTAATTTTCAAAACAAATTTGCGGTTGGGGTTATAAATGAAGGATAAAACCAGAGACCTCGGAATGGAATACTTGGAAGTCTCTGGTTTTATTCTACCCCAACTGGAAGTTGTATCCCATCTAAAGTCTTAAATTTAACAATGTATCGAGGTAATTTTCGAGGAATAAATGAGTGCTCTACAATAAAGAGTCTCGACCAGAGACGTCTGAAACGATTTATTTGACAAGAAAAAAGTCTCATGAAGTGAACAATGTCATTTTAAAGTAGGTTAATGATTGATATATGAACAAAATACGAGCTTGAAGCAGGGTGCCTAAAATTGAGTTAGATACCTTGTGGTAAAAATAAGTAGGGGTGCACCGTATATGAAACAAGTGCCTGTGATTGATAGTCTGAAATTTCTCTTCACATAAATATTAAAAGCTTGCAGTGATCGCTATAAATCTATACAACAGTCAAGTTACATATGGTAAACTAACATAAAAACAAGATTACAACAGTCATGATTACAGAAGGTATATTTTGAAGACTCTAGGTCAGTAGGTGAATGTAAACTGGTAAACACACGTGGGACAGTCACCGCAAATAAATGAACCACAAAACGACTTATAACATTAAAATGTAAATATTCATCTGCACACAGAGTTTTGCATAATAATTTTAAAAAAGTGTAAATTAAAATATAAAATAAACAAACCTCAAACCTTGTAACAAGGCTTGTTTCCCTGCATTCTTATATCTGGTTCTCTGTCACTGAAAATGCAGGGAACCCAGGGTGCGTTATTAACTCGTACACAGATTTGTTGATACGAATAAACCTATAAACATATATATACGAAATACAATATTATCTTAAAAAATGAAGAATTTCAAATTGCTTGAAAAATTATCTTTATGTAGTTTATAATAAATGGTTGTAATTGTATATTAATTTCTATCTATCCATTAAAATTTGATATTTATATCAGCTTATGTATCCGTCTGAACAATTATTGTTTTTACACTCCCTGTCACATCTTCATAGTTAAGCCTGTAAGCATGGTAAGTAGGAATCAATTTCAGTTGAAGGGGACCAAAACCAAACATTTTTTAGTTTCATTTGGTGGGGGGGGGGGGGGGTATAAACCCCAAATGATCATTTTATCTCCGTCACTGAACTGCTGAAAATAATGAAGGGAACTAGGCTGCGATAATGATTTGTAAAGAATTTCCAATTGCTTGGAAAAAAAAAAAAGCTTTTCGTGTATGTGGTTTACAATAATGGTTGTACTTGTATATTTTCTATATATCCATTAAAATTTCATAGTATCAGTATTTCACTATTTGTAAACATTAACTGTTACAATAATATTAAATAAATGTTACACTCACTGTGTAACATTTAGTTACTGTCACATCTTCATAATTAAACGAGAATATTCCCTTCCGTAAATATTGCTATATATCTGAACTGTTACCAATTAATCTTTCTTTGGTGAAAGAAAACCTCAGGGATGGAGAATAGGCCCGTACGTAATTTAGTTGGAGAGGGGGGGGGGGGAGGGTGAGCACAACCAAACAACATTTTTCAGTTTCAGGTTGGGGGAGGCTACAAACTAAAAATTTCTTAATAAGCAAAAGAAAAATACATTACCAGAGGTTATTATTTAGGGGGGCCAAAAGCAAAAGTAAAAAATAGATCATCAGAGGTTATTATTGAGGGGGTCCAAACATAAAGGAGCAATGTTTTCTATAGTATACCTAAATTTCATTTCGTACGTTCCTTCAGCCATGTATTGTATCAAATCTGCTTCACCCTTTTTTTACTGCATATGTATTTTAACAGCAGAGGACCACATTATATTAATAAATAATTATTAAATTACAGCTATTTTTTTCTTACAGGGTCTGTTTCATTTATACTATATCATGATGATCATGTCCTGCATGATGTTTACAGAAAGTTTAATTTAAATTTTTAAGCTCGACATAGCTGCGTCAACTTGCGAGACTATTTTTTTCTACGTTCGGCCTAATCTTTAAATATTTTCTGCAATTTGTTTGTGGACTTGCATAAAAGAATTAAAAATATAGGGGCCTATCATTTAACTTTATTTCGAATTTCCTTCAGGATTTTATATACCGAACTATAGTCTAATGATTATTTAAAATCATACTTTTTCTCTTAAAAGCTAAATTACTAGGCAAAAAAAAAAACAAAAACAAAAACAAAAACCAAAAAAAACACGAATGTTTGTCTTGCGTATTCTTAATTACAACTTATTACTGTATCATTTTAGTTACTTACCCAAATTTCTCAACATTCATGGTGTTCAGAGGTCATTTTCTGAAAACTGAAGAGGCATTCCGATGGCATTCGGAACAAATGACGGAAAGCACTTGCTAAGAATTCAAAACATGGTCCATAAATTTACAATATTTTTCCTTTTTAGGTTTTTAACATAAAAAGTGGAAAACTAAGTTAAAGAAACACTCATTTGAACATATCAAAAGCGGGAAAAATATATATGCTAGATTTTTTGTTTAATTGCATGTTTTTCATGGTCTCCAAAATGCAGAAAAATTATCCTTTGAAATTATACGTAGGTTATACATTCTTTTCTTTTTTAGGGAAGATGATAGGAATTAGACAACTTTTGAATGTTAAATAACAGAGTTAAAGATTAATAATATTTAATGGCAGACTGTTTATTTATCTATAAAAAGACATTTGCAATACTGATGAGGTCAAAATAATAGGGAGACCGAAAAAGGTCGCCTTAATCCAGTGGTCTCCCTAAGCCAGAAAATATATCCTCCTTGGTCTCCTAAAGCCATATGTCATATATATATATATATATATATATATATATATATATATATATAAAATGATCTATTTTGCTTTTTTCTGTTGAATGCAGTTTCACCTCAAGCTAGGGTAACGCTTGAAATTTTAAGAAAAAAAAATATTTAAGATTCACAGTTTGATTTTTAAGTTTCTAGGAGGTGTAATTAAAGAAAAGCACAATAGTGAAAAATCTCATTTATAAACACACAAGTACATTACTATTTTTAAAAATGTTATGCTCCGTCTAAGCGAGGAATATGTTGCGCCCATCGATTAATTAACAAACTGGTCATTTAGACGAAATTAACAGCTTGTATTATATAATTATATAGTCGGAGTGGAAATAAAATGAAAGTGCAGACTTTTCCAGTGCTGACGCCAGCTTCAAGCTAGGAGCATTAAAACCACCTGTAAGAATAATTTCTGTGAGACCATATCCTATCGCTGTCATTAGGTCTTTTTCACCAACAGGAGAGTTCACTGGTTGCCGATGTGCGGACAAATTAGAACCAAATGCGTGTTACCTAACTCAAAGAAATTTCTTTACACACGCCAAAGTATCTGTACATTATTGTGTATTCACTAATAATATATTTTTTGGAGTGTTTTATGTTATATTTTACTTTTTATAAAGTTATTATGTTACATTTTAAAACCATTTAAAACCAACATTTCGGAATGAGAAACACAAAAGCATGTATCCTCTTCGTAATCAAGATAAGTCGATCTCTGATGCATGTACTAAAGCTTTGGCGGATTCTATTATTTTGCTTGATGAATGGAAATTTATCACAATAAGTGTGTTTTTTTTTTTTGCTGTACGATTATAAAACATATAGTTAGATCACCAATATGACAAATTAAATGATTTTTTGTACGTCATTCCAGAACATCCTAAATGTGATCATTATTAGCTCTTCAAATGCAAATACTCAAGGAGTTAATGCAATGACCTGGCGTGCTTGCGTAAGCCCCCTGCTTTGTAATAATCATTATAAAGCTTATGTTAACAAATCCTGATCAATAAAACTACGGATTGTGTGTTTATGATATCATTAGACTTAGAATTGAATATCTCATTTAAAACCATTTAAGATGTGATTTAAAAGACATTAGAAATACATTTCATTCTTATTATTCTTACAGGCAGCCTAGCTTAATTAGCTATTTATCCAAGTCAACCCAGTTTACTTTACATGAATTAGCGAGAATAAGGAAATACAAGATCCACATCAGTTTATAGCAGTTCCAACTTCTTGCTCCTCGCAATACATATGACTATTTTTTGTGATAATGAATACTTGAAACTTACAAGTTCATTTACTACACTCACACCAAAAATCAGTGGATGGAACATGAGGTATCGTATTCTAGAAAAGAAATGCTCATGATATTACCTCTTAAAATACTTTTAAATAAATTCTGATACATGTTTTTTTATTATTGTTCAGAAAATAGACTGATTTTGTTTAGGGATCAGTTAATATAACGTTAGGGGTGTTGAAGCAGGGAATATCTTTTTGAATGCGAAAGCGTATTATATATTTTTGAAGATGGATTGGAAAAAAGTTAAAATTCAATATTCAAACACCACACTTAACGCAATGTATAATATAGTATAAGGTGGATAAGTTTTTTTCCCCCTAAATCGGAGGGAGAGGGGGATCAAGAGGTCCTGAATTTACCCATACGACATCAATGACTTCGTGGCGCAGTGATATGATTGCTGGAATGTAAAAATGGTGATTGCAAGTTCGAGCCCCACATTTTTTTCTATTTATGTGTTTTGATTTTTTTTTTCTTTGTGCATCTTTTCTATGCTTTTCTTTATTATGTTTTATAAATGATTACATACATGTATGTCTTGAATTGAAAAAGTACATTTATCTATAAATAGAAACAGGTGATTTCCTTTTAAATGCTTGAGTCGGCCGTGTCGTCGGTAAGGCAGCTATGGCTCTTTTAGCTATTTTGTTCAAGTTTATTTGCTTCTACCCCCTCCCCGTGTGAGACGCAAAAAGGTTTTATCTAAGCAGAAAAAAAGGTTTTATCTAAGCAGTAAATCCGCCGAAACATGGCTGAAATATTGCCCACTCGGCGTTAAAAAATAAACAATCAATCTAAGCGGTAAATGTATAAACCGCTTTATTGTTCAAATTTCTATAATAAGACCTCAAATATTGTGTTATGCGAAAAATGCACCGTGAAATAAACAAGACTCGCATCTAACTTTTAGCAACTTTGATCCTATCTGATTTCCTGTTTATATTATAAGAATGGTATGAAAATGTCTTACAGCTGCTATGTCGCTTGTTCTCTTGATGTTTATCTTTCACACTAAGTTACTGTAACAGTTGACCGGAAAGTTTGTTGAAGATTTTTTTTTCTCCCAAAGTTATCTTAAATATCCAATTAATAGACAAGTAAAAAGATATACTAATATTTTTCAAATAAAAAATATCATTTGTAACATTTTTTATTCTTACATATACACCTTATAGAACATAATATAAATGTACAAAAGTTATAGAAAAAGAATTTTTTTTTGAGAGAGAGACTGAGAATGAGAGAGATATTGAGTGATTGTAAGAGTTAAGTTATTTACATGTTCCAACAAAAGTTTTTATACTGGAGAAAGGGGGATGAAACTAATAGCAATCTCTGTTGACCATCAGAGCCCGCACGTGTTACAACATCATAATTTGAATCGAATGAGAGTTGGAATTACGCATGTAACAGGAAGTAAGGCTGCGCATGGCATTGTTTATAGTAGACATGGAAGATAAAGTTTATATCTAAGCTTTTTGAATGGAATATACTAAAAACACTCAATGACAACTACCTGAATGATGGCAGAGTTACTGTACGTATACATTGGATCATAATGCATGCAGATGAAAAGGACTCATTTAACATGTTTAAAAAGATGAAGGCATTTGGAAGAATCAAAGAAGAATTTGTTGGTGTTATAATGGTAAGTCGCATTTATTTGGAAAGTTAGAAACGTAATA